CTATATTTTATAAGGCAATTTAAAATGTGTTATTGAAATAAAACAGTATGTTATGAATTATTGTATAACTTATTTATCAATTTCAGTATACAAATAACAAGACATTTGCAGTAAATTATAATATTTGCATAATTATTCCATGCATAAAGCTGAAATAGAAATATTCTCAAATGCACAAATGAAATAAACTCAAGTAGTTTTCTTCAGAATAATGAATAAAAGAAAATTGTCACATAGAGGAATATGGCTTTTTAAATTAACACAGAAAAAAATTAGTAATTACGAAAGACACATCCATTTATTTAATAATATTTATTGAGTGCTTTCTAAGCACTAGAACTTCATTTCTCATAAATTTAGAGCCACCTGCACATTTCTTATTATAATCTTAGAATGAAGTATAAAATAAAATATCAGATTAAGACATAATAGCTAATAAAACAAATAAGCAGATAATATAACTAAGATTGGAGAGCATTCTAGTTACTTTATGTAAGGGCAGCTTTGATTATTACTGAAGAGAAAAATTTGGCATTCTAAGTAGGAACAAAGCTATTTTAAAATGCAGAGAGTTTTAATCTGTTTTAGAAAGTACTCTATTGAAAAATACAGTAAAAATAGATGTTTTGCTTAAAAAGTCACTTATATGGACATCCTGCAGTAATCCCAGATAATCTTACTATACTAATGAATTACTCAGATTGGTATGTTAAAAGCATTTTGAAGAGGGAGGCTCAAAAATTATAATCAGATTAATATCTGGAGTGTTAATATGTTTGATTGTGAATCCAGGTGACCCTTGCAAGATGAGGAATTCATCACACTGTAACCTGGGTATCCAGTTCTTAGTGGAAAGCAATTTCCAATTTAAAGAGTGTGTCTGCACTGGTGACCTCTATTGTACTGTGAACAAATTGCTTGGAAAAAAATGCATCAATAAATCAGGTAATACCTTGTTATAAGGAACATTTACAATTATTAAAAAAAGAACTACAATTTCAAAATTAACCACATCTATGTAATTCAATTAATTCTTTTTCGGGGAGTAATTTAATTCTTGTTGTGATTTGGGGTTCTATGAGCTGTAGACTTCAGTAAATTCATGACATATTTTCTTAAATTGTTAACTACAAATTCAAGTTTCATTTGAGTCATTAGAATTATAGATTCACTCATCCAATACATATATTTGTGATGCTTGTTATCGTTTGCACAATATCTAGATGATAGAAGACAAATAAGATATTATCTCTGTTGTTAAGGAAGTGTGAGTCTTCTAGGAGAGCCCAAAACATAATAATTGCCTAGAGTTATACTTGCCTTTGCGTAGGAACATTTAATCAGGCTAACACTGAAGTTGTGGTAGTCAAATTAGTCAGCATGTACCCTTGAGGGTACACACAGACTTTTGAAAAGACATGTGGAATCGAATAGTTCTAAAGTGGACAGTTTTGAGATCCTCGATGTCCCTATCTCCTCTCTGGAAAGTGATCTCTGGAAACTTGGGAATGCACCTGTTACCACTGAGTTTTCACCTCTTCTTTCACAATCAACCTTCTCCCGCTTAATAAGAGGTAGATTTAGCTCGCATCTACATTGAAGGGGCCCATTCTCCAACCCCGCCAATCATCCATGGTGGGCTCATTGGACATTTTTCAGTTCCATAATTTTGCCTTTTACACAATTTACGCAAACATGAGTTTTTGTTTCTTTTGGGTATGAAATTATGGTGTCAAATGATATGTACATGTTTAACATTATAAAAACTTCCAAACTGTAATTTAAATTTGATGTAATCATCAATGTGTAAAAGTTCCATTTGCTTCACATTCTCAACAGCAGTTGATCTTT